CGAAGCTACTATTACTAATCAATTTTCCATCTTCGTGGTTATTCAAAGCTCGTTTGTCAGTCCGAGCAGTTACGAGCAGTGCATGATGACATGCATTTCGTAAAAAATCTTAGAGATGTTGAAGCATTTTAATGCAAGTTATATGTCATATGGCACAATAATGAATATCGTCGGCCCCGTAGCATTTAATCAATTATCGTATATTAAAGCAATTAAGCAATATATCCTCCATCTTAATATTATATACTTATATAAGTGTTGTTAACTATGATGATGCATTCATTGTAGACAATAGTTTATGATGCAATGATCACAATTTAGCTCCAGCTTAGTTAGCGATGGGTATTGAAAAATTCGGTCTAAGCTTTATGTAATTTGCGCTTTTCGTAACTAATTTCGAGGCATTATGCTATAAAAAGAAAAACCCACAAACAATTATGTAAATTTCATTTATGGTAAACTAACAACCACTTGTTTTCACGTGGATAATAATAACAATACCAACAATGATATTATATATGTATATATATATATATATATATATATATGTAGTTTAAAAAGGCACAGGAGCAATATGTAAGTGTGTAGATATATGTATACAAAAAAAAAAAAAAAAAAATAGGGTGTAAATATGATAAAATAAAGCCCAGGCGGCTTCTTTTATATAAAAAATTAAAAGAAGTGAATGACATAAGTAAGGGTGTGGTGTGTAGAGAAGTAAGCAAGCTCAGCCAGTTCACGCGCGCATGCAACAATGTTGCAGAAAAGAAAAACTTGTTTATGCATAAGTTAGTTATAAGAAAATCTTAACCGGGGAGCAGTTATCACACATCGTGACTTTGTGGCCAAAGTTTGATGGCTTTTTTTCATTTTTTTTTTTTTTTTTGGCTTTCTTTATTTAAATCATTTTTTAATTATAAGGCGTTCGCATAACACAGAAAGCAGAAGCAAAAAAAAAAAAAAAAAAAAAAAAAATTAACATGAAGATGAAGAAAATGAACAGACACATTTATCCTCTACCTTTGCCTAAAATTATCAAAATTATTATTTATTATGAAATTTATTTTTTAACGATAAGCTCAAGAAAAATGGATATATTGGGTTTAAAAGGACAGTGAAGAGAACACTAATGACTCTCACAGTCATAGTCATAAGTTGCACAATTTACGCGTTAGAATGACTTCGACAATTATTGAACAACAGATCTATAATGTTTCAATAATATATCGAATTAATTACATCCATGCATTTATTTGAGTGAAATTTCATTATTGTTTAACACCTGTCATTATGTTTTCTCATTTCTTTTTTACAGCATATGAATTGCTCACCAAAAATATCAATTTTTCGTTGCCATTGTACGGATTTTAAGGGTGGAAATGCTACTTAGGCGGGCTGCCGGTATCATCGATTGAAACAAATAATAATCAGATGAAGCAAACCGTTGTTGAGACAGCCCGTCTTAGTTTAATGTTTTATGAATATTTTCCTTCGACGACTTTTCCAATATGTGGCCGAGCATTGTCATCGTGAAACAAACTTTTACATGTCCAAACAATGCATTAGTTGTGATGGTCTGACTAAACTAATGTTTGATACTCGATATTTAGGTTCCGTTGTAAACAAGCGGCGCATCATTCGTTTCTATACATTTTAGATTTTCTATATAGTTTAGACGGCAAAGATATTTTATACTTATATAGTTGCTATTAAGAAGTCACAAATGATCAACGATTGACGAAAATAGACGACCAAGTCAAAGAAAAGTGACAGCTAAATCGTGAATGCTCAAAAGCTGGGCACGTGAGCAATAGATGGCCGCGCAAAAACTAATTATATTTTGATTGACAAGTGAACTGGCGCCAGAGACTATTTTAGCGCAAAAACGTGAAAGCAAAACGTCACATGTACATAGCACACACTTCCTGACGCAAATAAACGCAAATAATCTACAAAACAAAAAAATAACAAAAAAAAAAAAATGCATTAAAATTTACCTTTTGTTTTAAATATGGTTCAAGCTACCATGCAAAGTGCTTGTTCAAAATTTTAAATAATTGATTAAAATGAAAATAAATTTGGAAGTGTAAAAATCCTAGGAATAGCGTAAAATTTCTTATTGCAAAAAACAAACAAAAATTCAATAAATTATAATAAACACAATAAAATGTATTTATTTTTTCTTTTTTAGTCATTGAATATATTATATGGAATATATTATATGGTATATATCTTCTAGAGATATTATTGTTGGATCGAGGGTGCCTTTGGTTCGGCAACTGGGTCTAACGCTCTTGTTGCTGTTTTTAAATGATTTTCCACGAATGAACAACTACTACTGCAATCTAATATAAAGCTATTCCCTTGCTCTATGGGGGACTTCAGTTGTATTTGGTGAAATGGTGCGATAACAGCAAAGCATTGTCATCTAGGGTCAGTAACATCTCTTTGTGATCTGAGAATCATCCTTCACAATCTATTGACACTTAACATGCAATTGCAATCTGGAGTCAATAAAGCTATCAAAATGTAGACCTAATTATGAACCTTACTCTCCTATACGAGTTCCCTGGAGGAGGAGTTACTTAAATAAATCTAATACTTATTCTATCACCTATTCGGATAAATGTGAACTTGAGAAACGTATGCGACTTAGTCGATAACGTTCTTACTACTAGCTAAGCGATGGTGTCGCTGTTACTTGTCTTTTATCTTCTTTTGCAATTACAGGCCTAGGTATAAGTAATTTTAAGGGATAGGTTAAGTTTATCCAATTTTGTGCTTATTTAAAAGATCCAATAGTTTTATCGTCAATCGATAATTTTTTCATTTCGGAAGAGAAATTTACCGTACCACCAACCCCACAACGAATCGCTCGGACTAAAAGGTTAATAAACGCGATTTACGTATGCTCCTTAGCAGGATCGAAAAGCGAATTCTGAATACTGAAATCATTGATTCTCTTTTTAAAAATTTATTTTCTTTGACTTTCAAAAAAATAAAATTAACATAATAAAACAAGTAGAAAAAAAAAAAAAAAAAAACTGTTTCACTTACCTCAATTGGGGAAATACTTTCATATAAATTTGTATTAAAATTATATTTTTATGCGAATAGTGACGATGAAGGTACATTTTCTTGGATATTTTTGCTACTGTAGGAATGATAGGTAGCTGTTCATACTAATTACGATGCGTCATTTATATCTTACATTTAAGACAATACATGTTCACTTTTCAATGTTACGTTTGTTCGTTATAATTTCATATACACTCTTATGAGGGCCCGCCTCTTTATTTATGGGCAAACGCACTTCCGAAATCCCATAACTAGCTTCACGTGTACGCTTATGCATTAGGCATACAGTGATAACGAGATGATATTCATCCCTTGGCTTATATAAATTGAACAGAAATTTGAAAACTATTCATATTCTCAGGTGACGTTCTTTTTAGTAAAGGGTGAAATCATTAAAGTACTTATGCGACCAAAGAAAGTTACCTTTCTAAAGGAAACCGGAACATATTATTACACCAAAAAGAGATATTTTCTCATATCTAATCCTTTATCTAATATTGTACACGTTCAAGTGTATATAGAAAAAAGTTCGAAACAAATATGTTAATCATGTACACGCACGAAATTTTACGTAGCTACTTACCTAACTACCTATCTACCTATCTACCTATCTTCCTTACTAAGTGCTTATATATATGCATTTGTTCATTTGTGCATGATTGTAATACATAAATCATTGAATTGCGGAATACATTTCCTTCAAAAAATTCCCCTTTTCATGGAAAACCATTCCAACCAATCTTCATAAGAACGCATTAGAATGGAGATAGAAAAAAAAAAAAAAAAAAAAAACTTAATTTTTTTTCATATGTCATCGGGTTCCAGTGCCAAATATTGCATTACATTAACATATTATTTTTACATACATTGTATGTTTACTATCAGTCCATTAGTTTGTATTTTATTTCGTTTGCAACATCTGCGAATAAACAATATAAACTTACCCGGACGATAAGACGCATAACATAACTCGTACTAGCAATATTGAAATCATCTTCCCTCAACGTTCGTATTACTTTGATCTGAATTATTGTTGTCACTCCTTTCAATCCTCAAATTTAACGACGATTTATTGCAAAAATATTTTAATGTTGACTTCGGACCATAACACGCACTCAAAATTTACGTCCATTTTTCTATGTCAAACGGTGCGTCTTATAGTCCGAAAAATATGATACTAATCAAGATAAGCAAAACTTGCAAATGGGTTATTATTGCCGTGTTTCACGTACCCAGAAGTTCTTATACAGATTATAAGTTATTTTTTTCTCTTTCTTTTTATTGAATTATATAAGAGCAACCTATCATTGCTTAGGCCACCATGATCGCGGAAATGCGTAAATCGATTTACAATTTGGTGCTGATCAAGAATATTTATACCTTTTGGGGGTCTTTGATACTTCCTTTTGGGCGCTGCAAACGTTTTGCCAAAATGAATATACCCCTCATCTCGGGGGTGATGGATATAAAAAGCAATAGGCATTTTATTTCCAGATGCTTAGATAAATGTAATTTAATAATACTTTTAGACTAGTTTCCGCATATATTTTTGAGCTCTTACATGTTTTTTTTTTTTTGCGAAGAGATTGATGATTACTCTTAAAAATTATATATCGTAATAGTATTTTTTATATCGTATATACAAATATTAAAATATTTATAGAGATTTTTATTTATTTTGACTTTGTGCAATCAGTCAACATAAACAGCATTTTCATATAAAATATATATGGTCACTCTATATATCTCATGCAATGGTTTCTCGATTTAGACACTCTCTCTCTCTCTCTCTCTCTCTCAGTTAGTTATTTTTTCCCTTTATTCTCTGAACATTTAAGGCAAACAAGAACAAATAAGTATGTACAGCTATGCTTTGTTTATATTATATTCAGGCAGTTACGTATCATTCTCCTCGCGTGTTAATACATGTTTGTAAAGAAAGTGTAGTGACTTTGCTTTAAATAAATTTTATTTATAATCTACTAAAGCCAACTTAATTTATAACATACATTAGCAAATTTGTGCATTTAAATAATGTTAAGAAAAGTGCCGTTAATAGTTATACTGGGTTCAACCGGTACAGGAAAAACAAAATTATCTCTCGAGCTGGCCGAACGTTTTGGTGGCGAAATTATTAGTGCTGACTCTATGCAAGTGAGTACGCAGCCATTTGGGGTTACCAGATTGCTAAGTTACACACATTAAACATTTGTGTTTTACTGAAAATGAAATTAAATGTTATCTGGGCTAATATCTCTACATGTTAACTTTCAACACTAAATCTATTACTATTGTAAATAAGACGTGTGTCGAGCTTTTAGTGTTCACACCGTTAAAGTCTATATAACAAATTTGATTAGATTGTCATCGTTAGATCACATTGAACTTTTAAATGACTCGCCTAAAAAAAAAAAAAAAAATGGTGATGCTTTTGTTCCATTCTATATAGAACTTGAATAACGCGATAAAAACGCTATAATACTTATATGGGAACTAGAATTTCTAACTCCTTCTCAAGTATCTCAAATTCGCTCTCTATTATTAATTTCATAGCCTCTCCTACGATTTAGCTAAAATTTAGATACACTCAAAACAGTTTCCAGTCTCCCAAAAACTCGGGAGCTTACAAAATTTATACGAATTAATATAAATAATTTGAAAAGTAATGTAATAAATAAATTTCATAAAAAATTAAGAAAAATATTTAAAAAAAAAAAAAATGAAATATTATTACATTAATACTAATGCACTACCAGTCGGTTAACTTTTTCATAAACGAAATATTTACATTGTTGCATGTTAATTTATTTATTAAATCTCTCAGACCAACTCGACAATTGTCAATTAAATGTAGTCTAGACGTAGAATAATGCTACGGAGCATTCTATATGGTTTTTGTACCCTATAACACTTATGCTGCAAAGGTATATTAAGTTTGTCCTCGTTTGTAACTCTTATCGGATAGAATATTTTTAGGGTCAAAATTTCCGGGTAATTGTAACGTTTCGGATAAAGGCATAACGTTCTGCCACCTGTTTTAACGCTCAACGTCGGGTTTGGATTTCCTAGCACCAAGAGCTAGGCAAAGACATTTCCATTCAATTCCGAATAATTTCAGAAGAACCTGAGTCAAAATTTCCAATAAAGGCAAATCAAACTTATTTTAGTTTTGACCTTACCTCGACCTTGACCTTAGCTCGAATTGTAGTTTCATTATACAAGAAAGGTCGAAAGTACATGAAACAACGCAAATACATCTCAGGACGTTAATTAGTTGGAACCATTGTTTGGTAATATTATCAATGTGAGCAGTAGGACAATGTGGGGGGACAATGCCTAAAAATCAATGATATTAAATACCGGCATATTGGAACCATATATGAGAAATGGAATAATGATAAGGTCTCTTTTTTTTTTTTGGAGAAACTACTCTCTTAGTCTTATTAATTGAAAGTGTGAGACTCAAGGAGAGAGAAAATAACATCAAGAAGCGGGCTGTACTGTTCGCTTGCGCCACTCTGGCATCAGAATGAGAACTAAAAATGACCAGATCACTTGCGTAGCCAAAAGCTGAATTATTCTCAGGAAGGAAGCTAAAAATTTAAAAGATTTTCTATGCCCGAGAGGACTCGAAAAGAGTAAGACAGACTTAAAGATGTTAATCGTAATATAGTTAAAAGTTGTTGTTACGCCGGCAACGGAACGTAGGCAATGACAACATAATCTAAAAATGTTGTCTTGGGCGGCTCTAGAACGTCTAAAACGAAGTTGATAATTGTTGAGAATGCGTTTAGATTCAAGATAGCACTCTAGAGGCGAGTGGCGTCTGCTGCTAAGAGTGGAAAAGGGCATGACAAAAGGTTCAGCGCGATTGCCATAGGATTTGATATATATTGGAACTCGGGTATGTGGGACACTACGGACAATGGGGTGCAAGTGAAGGCCAATTTCTATTAGATATTTTTGAGGAAACTAGAGTATCGTTAAGAGTGTTCCAGGTACTCTCAGGAAACTAAAAAGATGGAAATACATTTTCTGGAATATAAGTACCACCAGGTGTCGTTCATATAACAACACGGTCCTTGTAACAACACGGTTTCAATACAATACCGTACAAAATTTTCGATTATTTTACACGATTTCAAAAAATCGAATATATATTTAGGTGGATATTTTCGTTTGCTCTTTGCTTTTTTGTTGAAGAAATCTCTAGTGGCGAGGAGTGTCAGCCATAAAATTAAATTTCTTCTGTAAGACTTTTGAAATACTCCAAAAAGGGGGAAGAAGCTGTGACAAATTATTCTTTGATTTTTTTTTATATCTATAAATCATTTGGTTTGATATCAATGGATTGCTTGTATATTCATGTTCTTGATCCGTATATAAGAGTTACGGAGGTAAATTAACATTTCAATATGTTTGTGATTTATTTTGAAATATTAGGGGAAAAATGGGTTTTGCCCTTCGAAATCTACTACTGAATCAATAACGTGTTTAGGAATCAAAGTTACTTTCTTGTCGCAGGCATTGTGATTGACAATGTTTCCGGGAAGGCATTTATTCGCCCGTTTAAAATCGTAAGCATAAATAGGGGAATCCACAAAAGAAACGTTAATATTATGTTTTAGCAAAAAGGTGAGCTGAACTTAATTCGTTGGTAGCCACAGGTTCCGGAGAATTCTGAGAGCATTTTTCTTGGAGAAAAAGTCCAAAACAGATGTTCACCCACTAATATTGATGCGAATCTAAGATGGGCCAGTAGTAAATTTCAAAGAGATTCAGTTAAATCAAATGCTGTTATGCATAATGTTACTTCGGCAATTCGATAGTGCCGCCACGAAGATGGTGTCCGCAATTAAAATCATCGTCCGATAAAGATAAGGTTTTTTTTTTTTATTTTCATTCCTTTCCTATTCATTTCTTATAGAAAATATGGTCACGTGAAATACTGTAAATATATCCTTCGGTAGCAATCCGAAGATAAATCGGCATTATTGTTAGTTAAGGTGGCATTGATAATATGCGGCAGCTTATGATCTAATCCTCTTTTAATTGTTGTCGTAATTCCGCCTCCTCTTCAATTTGTTTGACAAGACTTTCAGGATTTGAGTATGCGTATTGTGCGTAAAGTTATTTTTTATTATTATTCATACTAAATAGAGTTGTTGTTGTATGATAATAATCATTGCAAGTTTTATTTATAAGAGGTTGTGCTGTTTAACTAAAATTATTTCTAGGCAAATATTTAAGCGATTTTGAATGACATATACCCTTCCGAAGTTCTTTGTCAGATAATGTCTTCAATAAGTCCTGGCGTGAACTGTGCTACAGCATTGAATTCTTTTATTAGAATGGAATACTCATAGTTGCTTTTTTACTTTAAAAAGTCTCATCATTAGATTAATTGTAATTCTGCTGCCTGTCCATGAGTATTTATCATCTTTAAGAATTTTTTTTTTTTCGTTAACGCTATTAACTTGTGAAAGTCACTACCACGCAATAGAAAAATGATTGTTAGCCCAAGTAGATTTAGAGTGATAATAAAAGGCTTCTATTATCTATAATTAGGTTTGTAGCTATGCTTAGCTCCTATAATGTACAACGATAGGAATGTTATTCATATCACAATCGTGCCGTAAATGATTTTATAGCTTTGCTGACTTATCAATCTTAATTATAATAATGATTATTATTGCATAATTTGTATTGTCATTAATAATTATTATTATTATTATTATTAATTAATTAATTAAACGAATTTATTGTGACAGAAGAGTTTAAAAACCAATAGAAATTTTTTCTAAACGCATGATTACTAACAATTATTATTATTATTATTATTATTATTTTACATAATTAATGTAATTTTTCAATTTTACATTTACGTGCTATGAGACGTTGTCCCCAGAAATTTTTGCGACCATTTCAATATATTCGGTATTCACTGTCAAGATTGCATGCAAAAAATTGCAAATAATTTCCGAGTCTTCAGTCCCTTTTCTAGAACTCCTTTTATACTTTTCATTATTATGTTGTTCTTCAAAAGCAGCAGAAGAATTGCTGGTGAAACTCTTTATTTTTAATGACGCTACTACCAGTACCATTGAAATAAAATTCACCAGAATAGCAAAGATAAGCAAAAAAAGGGGAGCGCGCAACGCACATAAGAAATACCGTTGCTTGAATTTGCGAACGCAACAATGATAACTGCAATGCACATTTAGTGTAGACTATGAATTTCTAGGATGACTTCACAGTTTCGCTATGATTCAAGCGGGTAAGCAACTTTGAAGGAAACGTGTTTTACTTTTGACAAATTTTTGTTTGGATGCAAGGAAAGAAAGATGACACAATAGTAATAGTTCGGAAAGTGTTTGAAAAAACAATGATTTTGAAATATTGACTTAGTGGATGCTTAGTAGACCCGTCTACAATGGGTGGTCAAGTTGTTGGTTGATATCTCAATGTCTTGACTGTTGATTTCCAACCTCTTTACTACACTAATAAAAGTATTTAGAAAGTGTTTATGCCTATTTCATGCTTTAAGTGTAGCTTTGTTGAGACTACTCAAGAGTGGGCATAAGGCAGTGATCGATTGAAAAGGTGCCAGCGTTTCTGCCCACAAATTGAATGTGTATAAGGAAGTTTTTTTTTTTATCATCTCCTTTGTCATTTCGCAACATGCAAAGTGCGAAATGCGCGAAACGCATGCGCGTTAGCGGTAAATCTTCAAAAAAAGAGAGCAAGAATATTTGACCATGGCAGGGCATTTTTATAGATCTGCGATTGCAGACTAATATTAAACAATAAGAAATTATATTGCGCTGGTGCAGAGCCTCTTACATGCCTCACGAAAATGGTTTTCGCGTAACCGCTTTGTAATATTTCTCAAAAACATATTCACCTTTTTTTTCGGACACAGTACTATATATTATTAATATGTGATCAAAAACTTTACACTTATCTTAAAAATTTATAAACCTGCCCGTAGGGTACTTATATTTCCATTAATTTTTAAATTCCTAGATAAAATTTGAAGCAATTTTGTAAACAATTTTATATAATGATTTTTTTTTTTTTTTTTTTGATTGTTACATGATCTCTCTGCGTTGTGCTTAACGGATTTCTATTCGATTGGACACTTTTATGGCCAGTTGTAAAAACTATAGTTTATGTTTTTTTTTTTTTTTTTTTTTTTGGTGTTTTTCAATCTTTTTCAAAATTTGAAACATAAACATCAATGGTCTACACTTAATTTAAATATCTACACAGAGCCGCTCTAACCGCTAAGGAGAGTAACAGGTTTTTTCTATTATCATTATTATGATTATTACAATCTATTAAATATATTTGCTCTCGTTCGCTTATATTCGAATATTATGCTAATTTATGTTTTTTAAATATGAAAATTTGAATTTTTCATAATTTAACAGGTACTTCTATGCAAATTTCAATACTTTTTTAATCTTTGCTTATCCATGCTTTATAAAATTTTTTTTTTAAAAATTGAAACAAAACGAATATAGTGAAATTAATACATTTTTCTGAAGAGCTCGAATGCTAAATAATAGCATATAAAAATTTTATTAAGTTGTTTAAGGGCGTCATCTGTCTATTAACATTATAATGAGGTTTCATAATATTTTCAAAGGGATCTTCAATGGTAGTAGATTATCTTAACTATAGTTAGGCCTTCATTTTGCTGGGTCTTTCACCAGTTCGGCCATAGTTCTAAGCCGGTGTGTTGACACACTCGCCAAGCCATTTCGCGATCTGTTAACCAAGTGCTACTGTGCTTTCTCTAACTTGCTAGAAGACTGCTAACGTTCAACTCACGCCCAAGAATGATGATCGGACTATAGGTCAAATGCAGTCTCTTCCGCTATAGCCAAGACCGAGGTAACCATAGTCAATTACAATCTAATCAATTATCTAGAATCCAGAGATATGCTTGGCGATATACAACATGGCTTTCACAAAAAAATCGGTCCAGTGATCACCTAATGTCCTAATACGTCGTATTTTTAGTGACAATAAGGTCGTTATGATAAATATCTCCAAAGCGTTTGGCAGAGTAAGGCGTGATGTTCTTATTTCCAAGGTGATTGTATTTTATGTCAATAGCATTTTCGCTCGATTCATATTGAGTTTCTTAGACAATGGCTCGCTAAGAGTTGTAGTCGACAATTAGTCATCAAACAAGACCTATTTAAATGCAGGTGTTCACCACAGAACTCTATTTTTTCTCCTTCTCTCTTCTTCGCATTCATTAACGATCTCCGATCTGCGTAACCGAAAACTCTATCTACTTGTTTGCAGATCGAAGCATCTTGCGCTACTCGCTTTACCTCCGTAAGAGACGATGCAGCAACGATATGCAGAATAAACGTTGTACGACGAATAGTTCTCGTAAAAATATCCGATTGGAGTCAGGCAGGAATGAACAAGCATGTAGTTGAATTTGGGCCGTCTTTCGGCTCAGTTGTATTGCTTGTTATTGTTAGCTTTCGCTACTAATGCACTTCACACGATATATATCAATCCCAGCTGACCTTGGCTAATGAAGAACCTTGTGCATGGTTTAGACTTCCAAGCACTTCCATTCGCTACCTCTTATTAGGTTTTTAAAAATTGTAACCTCAGTTTCATAGTATGTTTAATAAAGTGTAAATTACTTCATTACTGTTAATAAGTGTTTTTTTTTTTTTTTTTTTTTTTTTGTAATTTTAATTCGCTTAGAAATATTGTGGGTGTTGTGGTAATGATTAATACAAACTTGATTTGCAGTATCCTGTAATAAGTTCCTAAATTTGCTTTGCTTGCGATAGTGAATTATATGTTTATTCTTTTCCGTGGCTCATTGAAAGCTTACAAGTATTCCATTCCAGGAAGAAGAACTTTTTCTTTTTAAACAAGAAAACATAAAACGCATAAAAAAAGTTTTAAGAATTCCATTTGAAAGGCAACGGAATAGTTAATTGTAACGATGGAACAGGTATTTAACATAAGAATACCATCAATTTTTTAACCGTTGAATTGTAGCTCCACCTCTATTTACTGCCAATTAATGCTAATTAGTTTATCACAATCGTTCTTTCCTCCTAATTGGTAGCAAAATATCTCAAACTATTAACAGACTTATTTCCAAGCTTATCTCTCCCTTGCAGTAAATTACCAGAAATCGATACATTTTTTATTTTAATGAGCATAGGATGATCTCGTTGATGAGATTCGCCCGCTTAATAATCTACACATTTAGCCGGAATATATATGTGCCACATACGTCTTAGGCAGAATGGTCGTCAACGAGAAAGACAAATCTAATGCGTTTCTAAACCCAATCGCGATAATTTGCGGTTTTGCGATTTGTTTTTGGCAATCGAGTAGTCATGTTAAACGACTTCGATCGATAGACAAATCTGCTTGATCTTGGTGGTGGAGGGCTTGCCTCTGATATATATGATTTGTTATTTCTTAACAACATTCAGGTCTGTATATAATGTTTTTTTATAATTTTGATCATAAGAAATTTCAATACTCGTTTGCAGGCTATCAACGAGTTCTAACAATATTTGCATAGAATATCAGTTTTCATTGTGTTTTCATTTGTTTTTTGCCCTCCTGCGCCCATACTAAGGGCAAAAGGCAAATCGACTAAGTTCGATTTAAAATTAAAAACAATAAATTGCGTTTTTTACTACCTACGTATTAGGCTTAGTCTTTGATCACTTCTTTATGGAAGTGGGTTACAAAAAGATTAATAAGAGTAGTATGCTTATCAAGACTACTTATAAAAACTACACTAAAACTAATTAACACTACGATATAAAATTTTTTTATTGTCTACTTGCAGGTGTATGCTAATTTAGATATTGTAACAGCTAAAGCCACTAAAGAGGAACGGGCAAAAGTAAAGCATCATTTGTTAGATGTAGCAACACCGTATGAACCATTTACAGTGACGCATTTCCGCAATCAGGCTTTACCAATCGCATCCTTTTTTTTTTTTAAACTTCTTCACTCTTGACATGGCGGCCCTGCAATCTATATAGCTTGCTGTTAAAATAAATCTTTTCTTTTTTTTTTTGATTCATGCGGTAATTAATGGTGAGCATGAATGTATTTTTTATATTACAAAAAAAAAAAAAAAAAATCTTAAAAAAAAACTGCAAGCCGGGAGATTCTATGCTTATTTGATTTTTGATTTATACGCTTAAGATTTTTAGAACAGTGAAGGCGCGCTTCAAAAACAAATTAAAAAAAAAAAAAAAACTACTTTTAACTTCGGGAGAAAGAAATTATCATTCACTGGTACAATTCTTATATTATATACTTACTAACTTGAGTTGCCGCGAGCTATTATGCCCGAGTATAATACATTTTCATAAATACTTTTTAAATTAGTATGCAAATGTTACCACAGAGTTATGTTCTAAGAGAGCATTTTTTGAAAACGAATTTAAACTAAATTAAAAAAAAAAAAAAAAAAAAAATTAACAAGCTGAAAAAAGTGATTATGACTTGTTCGACAATTTTTATTCCAAATTGCAAAAATTAAATTAAATTCAATAAAAACTAATAAGAAATGTTTATATTACAATAAAACGCTTGCGTATATAAATGTGCTTAACATTGGCTTGAAGTTCATTAACTTTTATTTTCCTTGAATAACTAACTCTCTTCATGCCAACTGGTGGGAATGGAATATTTAAAAAGAAAAATTAATATTTTATTAAAATCAAGTCAACGATTTCCCCCTAACGGATACATAATGATTGGCACGTTTGGTTTCCTTTATCAGGCAAGAAATTAAAAATAATGCGAAAAATGAGTATTTATGCGGTTTAAGACGAACTTTGAATCCCCATCGTGCAACACTTTTATATATATTTTATAGTTTATTGGGTTTCAGATTTTTCATCTTCTCTTCCTTTTTCTTTATTTTTTTATTTTTTTCTCTTTTTTTTTTTGTCATTTGGTAAAAAATTATTATTATTATTATTATTATTATTAATATTGAAAACTTGAAACCTTACAGTTTTTTAATATCAGACGATTTCTTGACAACATAAGAACTGTTTGCATGCAAAAATCGAGAGCAAACGCGAGGCCCCCCATCTCCCCTTCCCGCAGTAACTCTTCCCGCGATGATTGAATGCTTATTTTGATTTAATGAATTTTTCGTAAAAAGGGAGGATTAAAAGAACGTTAGCGGGAGAACGGAAAAAGTCAAATAAATTGATGCAAATTTTGTCTATTTGTCCAAAGAATTAAAGTCAATAACCTAATTTTAATTGAAGGACCGATAGACGGACGTAACCAGCTTATTAAATGTACAGTGCGCATTATAATGCTTGTATATGCAAACATTCAGCAAAGCCAACGTACTGCCTAGATTCGTTGTTTATGCGTTTTCGCACACATGTGTTTTATGTATGCACTTCGCATACCTACATATACTATATAGCATTTTATTTATTTATTTACTGATTTCGCACTGATATATGCATTCATTCTGTGTACGCTTACATTATATACATGTGCATGTGTACTTTAACGTGAATATCATATATACATACATATATACACCAGTCAACATTCGTTTGTCGACATGTCCGTTTTTTATACGTTACTGGCTGAATTTTCTTGTTTATTTATGCTCGGCAGGCATGCACAAAAGTGGTTTTACATATCGTTGTTATTGTTATTCCACATTCAGTGACAATTCATTCATAAAGATATTGAATTTGAATTGATCCCCAACAACATGAGTAGTATAAGTAAATATCATTTCTCGCAGAGATAACGTATGAACCTACGTTATGGGTATAAAAGGTGAAAAATCACGATCTAAGAAACGAAATAAATACATTTGCGTCAAAAAATTTGTTGTTCCATTCTTTCAAGTCCTTTGCATTTTCCAAGGGCCCTACAGTTACTTGAGCTATTCTCTAACATTTTCTAATATCTCTTAGTAACCTTCATTCACGATAACGCAACTCTTTCATGATATAGTGATTTCTTCTAAAAAGACTTGGTCAGGATAAAGTGCGAGCAAGCACTCCTATGTCCAACGGTCTGAAGTAATTTCCTTAAAAAAAAAAAAAGAAAAAAATAGCAACTAAGATGCCGAAATTTTAGATTTTGTGTATGTATGTGTGTATATTGTTTAATGAATCGATTAATGTGGCCTTTACGTCTGAGATCGTGCTTCTCTGCCTCCACAATTGATTTTATTCAGAGTAGTTTCTAGCACAAGAAATTACGTTACTTACAGCGCATCGTTTATCGTTTCGAACTCCAAAGGATGAGATGGAGTATTGATTTTGTCAATGCACTTAAAACACTTGAAAAAGAGAGAGCAGGCAGGGATCTCATATAGCATATATACTTTTGCACATATCAGCGCAACATTCTGAATTGGTGTTACGATAATTTACCCCTTCTTTTTTAAAAACCCTTAGTCTAGTATTTAAAAACATTCTTGATAGCTTCCTTAAATATTGTTTTCTTATTACCTTTCCTTTTATCCCAAAGAGATTGTCGAAATGCTTCTTCTTTTAAGCGGTTACACGGTTGTTACCCCTCTTATTTCACTTCTTTGATATTTGCTGTGAAATACTCTGTGAATACATTCTTGTTACGGAGAAAGGCATCATGCACCTGGCGACAAAAAATTTGGCGGGGAAAACGAATTAAAAACGCCACGAATTTAGGCAATGGTAACTTGCTTTCAAAAGGGCATATAAGCCGAATATTGGCGGAAGGCAAAGTGAGTCGAGAAAGTTGAATTGCAATATTCGTGCGGACGAAACCAGGACGAGAATTAAAGCGTTGTAACTATAAGTTCCTGTAAATAATTTAATACTAAATAGATCTCGCCAAAAATTACCGAAGAATAAAAGCCTAATAACTAATACTAAAAATTGCAATTCAACGACGCAAAGTTAATTTCAACAGGATTCGACTAAATAACATAAAATTCACAAAAAACAATTTTACATTACAATAATACATTAGGAACATTCGTAAGAAGTAGTGAGTTCTTTTGTCTAACTTATAAATGAAAAAAAAAAAAAAAAAAAAATCTGTTTTATGCTTTCTGATATTATTATATACTGCAAAGGGTGGATGGAACTAATTGTTTCCTTCGGTTAGATTGATAATTGATTGGTGCTTCATCACTGTGTGTATGTATACACATGTGTGATCAATAGGTTTAATATTTTCATATCCAAATCAATTTCGACTTACGATAAAGGTTGAGAGCTTCTCAACGCATTCGGCCCATAAGAACCATTCAAAATTTGTATGAAAAAAGTTTATGGCTTTTATTTACTGTTTCCTATTGATTCGGCACTTTTTTTTTTTTTTTTTTTGCTGACTGACTAACACGATGCCCACGTTTACCGAAACTAAGAAGTATATAATGGCGATGTGATATTGTCACTAGTCATAGACGAAAACAATTTGTGTGTTCTTGTTTTACTTGGTTTAATTATCGATTAATTTTGTTATTTCGGAAGTATAGTCATAAAAGTATGCTGCGATATCAGGGTTGCCAAGTTACACAAAGCACAGCAAAAGCAAAAAAAAAAATCTCTTATAACCTATGATGTCTCTTTCATATTGCTCAGGACGCAGTTACAAAATTTCATTTTCAAAATGGTGGCAAAGCTGCATGAGATGCATTAAAGCATTCGATTCTCATTTTTATGGAGTACGTGGAGAGAGACGCATACCATTCCATTGCGCAATAGAAAGTGATCGCAAACTTTGCAACGCAATTAGTTGTTCATGACCTTACGAAGAAAATTTCCTGTAGTCGATTCATTAAGATGAAAACACAATAAAAAGTTACATCAACTATAGCTCTTACTGTCACACAATTAAAAGTGTCTTTGATCATTTACACCATCTTTTTATTTAACTATCTTTTTGTCACTTCTGTCGCTAGCATTTTATTTTATATATATATATGTGGAATTGAAGTGTGTGTAGACAGCTACCATAATCACAAGAAGCTCTGTGCGGTGATGACTAGGGCTTGGACTAAAATATAAAAAAAAAGGTCTTCCAACCTTTATTCCGTCAGCATTTTTTACGGCTGAGTTTGTCGTATGCTAGATGCTAGTTTTTGCCATCAATTATCAGCCAACTTAGAATTGATTGGATTGCGGCAACAAGTCGTAACCTCAAACTTCATTAAATTCCTTTGCCATTCATTCGCAGCATCGGAATATCAGCATATCTTACAACGCAACAAGTTTCGATCATTTTACTGTAAAGTAATAGGTAAAGTGGTTAATCAGCGCTGAACGTATATCTCGACTGCACAGTCATTAAATGCCAGTCACAGTAGATTGAAGTTCTGTGATTGGTCCAAAAAGTTTCGATATTATTTAAAGGATCAAAGCTTTTCATAAGCCTCGTTATAGGTTGCAGCAACTTTCACGCTTGATCTATGCAATAAAATCTGGAATTTCCATGATATTCTTAATTTGAGACAATAGGCGATTGTCAAACCGATAGACCAAACTACTGGCTAGAGTTTTAATCTGATCGCGTAAAAATAACCTTTGTTCAGACTTTCGCCAAACCAATTACATAGATTCTCTTACACTTCCATTGTTAGCCTGAAAATTTCACATTAATAATACTGAACTCATTGCAAGGTTTGTAGGAAAACACCTATATATATATATATATATATATATATATATGAAGAGAAAATGTTAAGAAATTCGTTATTCACCAATTGTAGCCAATGCATGGAGTTCCTTAAAAATAATTCCAACTTATTATTATTATTATTATTATCATTATGATTTTTGACTAATGAAATAAATTCTTAGACTAAGAAGAAAAAGTCATTGGGCACTAGTAACATAGACTCTATCGGCTCTTAGTTCCAACTTAAAGATTAACGTTTATTCTAATTGAAGCTAATATGATTGCTTAAATAAATTATTTTCCATGTGAGCTCATTTT